TTTTTAGGCTATATTTTTTTAAAATGATTTTTTATGCCATTTTTTAATAATAATAATAATAACTAAGTTGAACATATTGGACGTAAATCGTAAAGGCCTGGAGACAGCAGTATCCCAAAGTCTTGGGAGCCCAACATGATGTGAGCATGGGCTTAGGCGCAGTGCATTTCCTCTCTGGGTCATGGGCCTGGCCCTCTTGACTCTAGACATGGACAAAAACAGTTTCAGGCCCAGTTCTAGGCCAAGGATTGTAGAACCCTAAACCAGCCCAAACATATGCACGAGCCGATTTGGTGAACTAACAGTTCTGGACTGGCTCGGTGAACCGCGTGTTAACCACTGGCCAATTCCAGGTCGGTTCAACCCGTGGTCATGTCTACTTGGCTCTCGTTGAACATATATTCATATAGTTTTTCTTTTCTTTTCTTTTCTCGTGTTGTGTCTCACGTAAAGCAATGTAACGCATTCTAGTAATTGTTTCTGTGTAAATAGTCCATTTTCAAGGGTCCATCCACTATTTATTTTTACGCAAAATATTTATTAATGTTATGAATTATTATATTTTTTATCTATGTTATTCATGTATAACCTTTTCACCTAAAGTGAGTATATTTGTTGAAAAAATTATTATTGACCAAGCGTTCTCCTGCCTAACAACACCAACGACTCGTTTAAATAATGGGTTGAGCTCGTTTAGTTAACAAGTCCAACAAAAAATACAAAATTGAGTGTACTTTGACATAACCAATTATATAAGGCTATTAAAAAAGTCTAGATGTTCATGATCTCAATTTGACTTAGTACGACTCAAGATTTGTGCGCCTTGAGCCATCTAATTAACCACCATAGTTAAAGTAGTAATTTTTATATAATTTTGTATAACTTAACTTGTTAAGGCACAAGTTCGACTTATTAATATTAATAAAGAGCTAATCTTGATCTCGTTCATATTAATACATAGTCGAGCTTGAGCTCATTTACCATATACTCAAGTATCAAGCTCTCAGCTTGATTTGTTTATACACTTGAAGACATGACTACACGGCGAACTGGTCCGTGGTCAACGGGCCTTGAACCGAGTCTGTGGTTTGACCGGGCCAGTTCTGGATAACATATATATACTTTTTGGACCGCCATGCTGGTTTTCGAACTATAACCGAAATCGACGGTTCGGTCTTTTTTTAAAAGGAAAAAGATATTATTTTTTTAATTTTTTTAGTGAATTTGGCAGGCACGGAACAAGTAGTTCACTCAACCGGCTTAGAACCGACAATTCACCGAATTGGCCCTTGCATAAATTCCGACCGGTTCAGAGAACCGGTTTTCGCCATGTCTACTTGAGCGAGTCCATTGTATTTGTATAGTGCCTTGCGTTAGGGTTAAGGGTTTAACTGTCGCACGCCGAATAAGCCTCCTCTTCCGCTCGAATTCCGTCACCGAATAAAAAAAAAAAACCCTTATATATTCGCCTCATTGACCCAGAAAAGCCATGAAAAACTCGAGCTCAGGAGCTTCCAATTTACATGCTGAACATGGTTGGTTTCCTGCAGAGTCCCGCCGCTGATGGAGCTATAACGGAGGAGAAAGAAGGCATAAACAAATCCACAGTTTCAGCAGACACCAAGAAGCCTGAAGACCCTTGTAAGCCGGAGCTCGAAGACGTCCCGTCATCGTTCCCCGATAGTTTTCTCGATCTCGACTCTATCAGCGGCTGGCTCCTGGGAGTGAGCCCCGATATCTCCGGCGACCCGGTTATGGCCGGTTTGGGCGGCGACCCACTTGATTTCGCGTCGTGTATTGACGAATTAGGGAACCCAGAGGGCTGTTCCAAAACGCCTGGCGATGAAATTGTGGAGAAAGGTGAAGGAATTGAGAAGAGCCTTGAAAAGGGCCACGAGGGTGGTGTGAAATTGGGGGTTTTGATTGAGGAACAGCTTGGGAAAGTGAGTCTGGGGGAGTCGAGTTTAATGGACGGTGGGGAAAAGGCTAAGCTTGAAAATGAGGCGAATGGTGATGAAAATGAGTCTGAAGGTGGGGCTTCGTCTTCTTCGTCTTCCTCTGCTTCTTCCAGTGATGGCGACTCTTCTTCTTCTTCTTGTAGCAGTGATGATGAAGACGGTAATGGTGAGAAGAAAGTTATGGGCCGGCTCGAGGTAGAAGAAGGTGAGATTGTGTTGGCTGATGATGTGGATGAGATGGTTGCGTGGAGTGATAACGAGGATGGCATGGTGGGACCAATCTTGTCCAAGAATGAGCTCAAGGTAAGTGCTTTTATGAGTTCTATTGTACTTTTATCTCTCTCTGTTTTGTTTTTGTTGGTCATTGGGTTTAGGTTGAGTTAGTTATTTCGGTGCAAGCTTGTTGAGTTAATCTCTGATTATTTATCAATATGTGAAGAAAATGGTTGTGCTAGATCTTGATGTGAAGTTTTGTATTGGACTTTGATAGATACATGGTTGGTAATTAAGTTGAAGATGCCATGAATATCGAACTTTCAGCTGTTGATGACTTGTATGTGTGCATTTGCTAAGTAGAGAATTTTTAATATATATTCAACATCATTCAATTTTTTTGTGTTTTATATATATATATATATATGTTTTTTTGTATGGGCTTTTTTTATAGTGGAATGGAGTCAACTCTTTTCGTCTGCCATAGTTCTGTATCGTGGTTTACCAAATGTTTGCAACTGAATCACGGTTTCCCTGATTGTGAGTTGCTATTGATACCCTTGTTTGAAGCACCTTAATAATGTAGTTTTTTCTATAAGCTTTTATGTATGTTTGCTATACAAATCCTAGTATGCGTTTTGATGAATCGAGCAATGAAGCACCTTAATGTAGTTATAATGAATGCCACCTTATATCTTTGAACGGAAAAAGGAGTAAGGTAAAATCTTCAAAGCAGAGAAAAGACTAATTGATCCAACTTGCATAAATATTTAGTTTTAACATCTTAATATTTTGTGCACCATTGACCATGCAACAAATTGAAATCACTTAGCGAAAAATCTGTTGTTTCCACTCATCACCTTACGCCAGCTTCTGTGCCCTGGGGTCGTTTATCTTTTTCTAACACAGAGCCAGGCAAATAACTGATGATATCCTACCAATGTGCTTCTAGATCAAGAGTAATCAACATAGACATTCAAATTTAATTCCTTTTCNTGCATCTCTTTCTATATGCAACAAAAGAAAGCTTATATATTCCACCTTTTTAATTACCCAGGTCCTTCCTCCAGTTCCTCCCATCAATGTGACCTTGGAACCTCATCATGAAACCCTCCCAGTTGGCGTAATTTTGTCGGTAAGAGTATTTCCCTTATAAAAAAAAAAGATTAACTGCAATTCCATCACTGTAACTTTTCTAATTTATGGATTTGTCCCATGATCAGGTCGTTGGCGCTCAAGTGATTGTGGAAGGGCTCGAGAAGCACAATCCACTCAACGAGGGCTCGATTCTTTGGGTCACCGAAACCCGATTGCCACTAGGCATAATCGATGAGATATTCGGGCCCGTCAAGAACCCATACTACATTGTGAGATACAATTCGGAGAGTGAAGTCCCGGCAGGAATCGAGCTCGGCACTTTAATCTCTTTCGTCGAGGAGTTTGCAAACCATGTTTTGAACGACAAGAGTCTCTACCAAAAAGGGTACGATGCGTCTGGTGAAAATGACGAGGAGCTTTCGGACGAGCTGGAATTCTCGGACGATGAGAAAGAGGCTGAGTACAGAAAGATGCTCAAGATGAAGAAAAGGGGAAATGATGGGCCGAAGCCCGTTAACAAAAGAAAGGAAAATCGGAAGCAGAAGAAGAAGCAAAACGGTTCGCCTCAAACTCAACTTAGTGGTGGTGACACAATTCAAGCTAATCGAGAGCAGCATTTAGTGGGGCCCCCACCTATTTCGACATCACTAAATCAAGAGAATGTTTCGTTTTCTTTGGGCCCAAATCGTGATTTGGCTTCATTTCAATCTCAAGGGCCGCCGGGTTTAGGACCTCCCAATGTAATTTGGAATAATAACGGGTTCCCACTTCAGAATGGGCTGCCGGGAAATGGTGGCATGCTTTGGATGCAACAAAACGGGCCTTTTCAGTTTTTCCAAACGCCCCCCCTACAGACAAACATGGCCTTCCAGCAGCAGGTGGGCCCGATGGGCCCGCTTCCTGGGCTGCCCTTCAACTTTAACGGGTTGGGCGGGCAAACGAATTTTGTTGGAGGCCCGATGATTGTGCCACCACCATCCTTGCCTGGTATGAGCATGGGCCAGAATATGTTGAATCCGGCCCAATTCGGTATAGGTTTGCAGACCCAGCAGGCATCTGGGCCTATGAATGGGGGAGAACAAAATGGTCAAAATCCTCAGCAATCGACTGAGAGTCTGAATTTTAGTCAAGGACGTGGTGGTGGGAGAAGAGGGCAGTATAGGGGAGGTCGGGGCCGATTTGGTGGTGGTAGAGGAAGGTTCAATAATCGTCAAAATGGTTAAAAACGTTCGTCTTTGGATCCCTTTTTACCAAATGAAGTATGAAAATCGGGTATAAGTATTTCGGTGCTATACCTATTTGTCTGCC